CAGAAACTAATTCCCAAGATCCAAAGATCGCTAATTCACATTAAAACAGACGTGTGTAATGTAGAGAGACGTCCACGATTTAGGAATGGAAAGATGAGATCATGCGGCGTGATATATACCATTTTAACTGTGGTGTTGTAGTTAATTATATGGAGATTAATTTTCGGAGCAAGTATGTGTCACGGTATTTCATTGGAAGAAAATACAATAAGAAAAAAGAAAATCGGACGATACATAAGGCGATTTCCAACTAGATGGAACTAGTGAGAAATCGCCTTGTTGAGAAACAGTAATTATCATTTTGCACCATGAAGCTCAAGTTGTACAAAGCTGAGTCTAGCAATAAAATTGAGGAAATTTAATTTGCTACGTTTCATCTGCTAGACTCAAGTTTGGGAAATATCTTCATAGTGAAAATCCGAGAAAACCACTTTTGTAAGGCTAATTTTCAATCTTCCACCACAAAGGAAGCACTTCTCAAGCTTGAGTTTGGAACAGAAAGTGCAGCAAATTTAATTTTCTGAATTTTATCTGCTAGGCTCAGCTTTGTACAACCAGATCTTCAGGATGAAAAATACTAAAAGCGTGTTTTAGTATGAAGACTGGTTGCTAGAGACCCGATACCAGCGGAAAACTTTAGGAAATTAAATTTTATTTTAAATTTAGTAAGTTATTTTTATCCATAACAAGAAAGAGAATGAAAAATGTATATGTATTTGTGTAAGCTCGCATGGTACAATGGCGTATATAGTAGAGACTACTGATTTCTAGGTACATAGTTCGAATCTCTGCACGAGCTGTCTTTCTTTTTTTCTTTTTTTTTTCATCTCGATTTACAACTAATTATACCGCTTTTATATCTAGCGATTCTTTCTTTTAAACAGCTAGATGAATCGTACGCTTAATCGCTAGATGTATCTAGTTCTTATTGTTTTCTATCTAGCTAATTTCTTACTAGATGCATCGGGTATTGTATCGTATATAGCGATCTTTATGAAAAAGAAAAACTTTACGAGAAGATCTCTCAAAAATAAAGTGTTTCTTAAGGTAATTTACATACTGATTTCATGATGTTTTACCCGGTTTTTTCTTCAGGAACATAATGCAATCAAGGTGGATCATTCACCTCAGACTCGCTTCGGGACTGAGCTTAAAATCAGTATACAGCAATTTTATTTGTAAATACTCTCTCTACTTGCTCTCTCTACTCATAGAAACTACGGTTTTTTGAACTTTAGAAAATGTTTTATTGTTATTTCTAAGACAAGAAAGTTACACAAAGCGCATGTGCATGGTAGTGTTCTTGAATGGTTTGAATCTTATCTTACAGGTAGAGAACAGATCGTCATTATCAATAAGGCAGAATCGAAAGCAGCAAAAGTCACTTCAGGTGTACCTCAGGACAGTATCCTTGGCCCATTGCTATTTTTAATATTTATTAATGACTTGAGTCAAGGATTTCCTCCAGCGGTTACAGCATCTCTTTTCGCTGCTGATGTCTTTGGACTAATTCCATTGGACAACTTCAGTGATTTCACAGAAGCACAGGACTTTCTGAATGTCATGGCAGACTGGTGTGTTAAAAACGAAATTTCGTTAAATATTAAAAAATGTTTTTTTATGCCTTTTTCTAACAATAAACTTCCTACTCAATATCCTCCACTTTATCTATCAGGAGAACTACTTTTGTTAGATAGTAATATAAATTATTAGGAGTCCATCTTTCGCATGATCTTACATGGAAGTTTCATATTGATAACATAGCTAAACGATGTAGACAAATGTTAGGTGCTGTGAACCGTACTTTTAGGTGTGCTCCTACATTTATTCGTCTTCACATCTATAAAACGTGTATATTACCAGTCTTAGATTATTCTTGTATTGTTTTTGACAATGACTTTAAAACACATCTTAGTCCACTAACCTCTGTTCATAAACTAGCTGCACGAATGATTACTAACAATTTCTTTGCCAACAGTTCTGACCTAATTCAACAGTTAAAGCTACCTGATTTAGAAAAACGGAGAAAATATTTCAGATTAACTTTTTTCATAAACTCATTATAGGACGCACAGCACTTAGCTCTTTTTCTCTAATAAAACCTCTAACTACTCGAACATCGGCTAGAACATCCAATAGATGTCTTTGGCAAATTTCAAAATTTAAACGTAAAAACACTTCATCTTTTTTACTAAAACCTGTATCAGACTGGAACGTTTCGCCACGAAAGATAATTGCTGATTTTTCTGCAAATTCGTTCAGACGCGCGTGTGTAAATATCTATTTAGTGTGACTTAATGTAGAACACTTCAGTATGGTTTATAAGCCATAATTTTCTCTTATTTTTTTTCTCTCTTATACTCTTGTATTTTTTGTTTTTCTTATATTCGGTTAGGCTTCGTCAAAGTTTCACTAGTTAAAACTTTATGTCTATCTCCACTGTCTTTCACATCTGTGACAAAATAAATTTGATTGATTGATTGATTGAGCTTCCATCTCAGACTTCTCTAAGTTCTCCCATATTCTTCTCAATTATGGTTCGACATACAACTGGCATTCGATCTCAGAATAAAAGTGAGAGCGATTGATGTTTTATGGTTCGCGTGTGAATATTACCAATAAGGTAACGTTTGCCGCATGTGAAGAAAACATTCACGCATGAACTTTCAGAGAATGTATACCCGAAGATATTATCGCAGAATCAATTCATTATTAGAGCCAATCTAATATTCTGTGAATGAGGCGGAATAGCTTAGTTTCAATCCTCTGTGCGTCAGACAGAACCGAACTGATCGGCGCTACATCCTGAGAGTCACCAACAGCAAACCGATCTTACACCGAGGATACTCACAACTGTTATAAAAAACATCAATCTTTGATGCATTTCTCACTTTTGTGCATTTTTATTTTGAGATCTTTGCACAGTAAACATCGATTGAGAAAAAACACAGAAGAAGTCCTTAGATATAGTGCATTTTTCGAGAAAGAATATTCTTTCAACTGTGCGACAGTAAAATAGAAAGGATCTCTATTCTTTCACTCACTGAAACTGCTGTATACTTACACTGTAAATTAGTTATTTTTCTGATTTAATTCTACGTTGAGAAAGTTAAGAAAGCAGATATAAACTGCAAGAAAGGTTCGAGTATAAAAGTCGTCTTCAGATCGCTTTAATAAAAAAGTGCTTTATAATAGACATTGTTTAAAATGTGAAGAAAAACGTAGATATCTTCAATCATACACGTATGTCATATACAAATAAATCTGTATCTGTATATGAATTCTTTCACGTTGCAAAATGTTAGAAAAGAATATGTGCGTTATATATGAAACATGTTCCTCAGTTAGTTTAAACTTTATTATTCAAGAGAGAGAAATAAGAATAGTCACTTTGCACAGATGCGCCCTAGGCCATTATATCAGAGGAAAATGACATGGTAAATGTTATAAGCTATTACAGGTAACCAGCAAGAAAAAAATAAAAATAAGAGGGAAAGAAGGAAAAAAAGTGTAAGGATGAACAACAAGAAGAAGAAAATGATGCACACTAAAAATTTAAGGCACTGCACAGACGCCAAGCGAAAGCGCAACAACAGTGTAGGGATCACAAAAAATTTGGATGGATAGTTTAAAAATTTAAAACGTTTTGTAGCAATTATGTAGTCTACCACTGATCTGGCTACAAGTCTATAAGAGTCCTTCTCAAGAGCTACATTAAGAGAGAGAAGAGCCAGATTAAGAGGATTGCCGTTCAGTAAGGATCGTGAACTGTTATATAAATGATTTCTAGAGAAAGTATAACGGGGACAATGAAGAAAAAAATGTTGTCGTGTTTCTAATTCGCCGCATTGGCAACGATCAGTATCAGATAAATGCTTTTGATAGAGATCAGCATTTAACTGCGAAAATTCAGATCTTATTTGGTAGTAGATGATATCAGCTTTTCTTGGAATTTTGTATACTCGATAAACAGTTGAGTTCGGCTGCATATGTACTTTTAAAGATTTCACAAAAATAGCTAAAGTTTTGGATTCTTTTATGTTTTGTTGTAGACCGTTCCATCTAGCGATAGTAGAAGGAAAGAAGCTTTTATCGAATATTTCTCTATGAGTCTGGATCGAAGGTATGTCTACATTATTTTGATATCTTGTACAATACTGATGTTTTACCTTGCTTCATAAACATGAGGATAAATATGGAGGAACAAGTCCTTTAATTAGTTTATAAAATAAAATTAATTTATGCGGAAGAAAGAGTTTATGTAATGGTAACTAACCTAAACACTGCAAAAATTTTTCTTTACTTGACAACCGCAGGGCTCCACTTACAGCTAACGCAACCTGATATTGCAAGTTATAAAGCTCAGTCACAAACATGTTCCTTCGTGAATATAAGAAATATAACACTGCTACGAATATCATTTTCAATAAAAACTTGCGTGCTATCGATGCCTTTCTGACATCATCTTCAGCCTGAAGATGATGTCAGAAAGGCATCGAAAGCTCGCAAGTAAATAAAAGCTTTTATTGAAAATAATATTCGTAGCAGTGTTATATTTCTTATATTCTCGATTATTTATTACTGCTCTACCTTCTGGGTTTATGTTCCTCCGTATGAAATATATATAGGAACAAATACACGTGTGTCGTATAAACGAAACTGTAAAGATGATTCAGTCGAATATATAGAGAGTCACATGCCCTAATTTCGACACTAAGTTTTTGTGTTTTGTAAAGTCTTGTATCTTTCAGTCTTGTATTTTGTAACTTTTTATATAGCGACGTAGCTGACATTCAGACCTGTAAAAATATCTGAGTTATTACTTATATTAATTGAGATAATACGGTTAGAATAAGTCGAATTTTTTTCCTTCCCGTGCGCAGAGATGTCATAAAGCGAATACGGCCCATATTGGGATCTACTGGTCGAAATACTAGCGTAATACGTAATACATAATGCTTACATACATAATACACAATCCGTAATACACAGTGAGAATTATGGAATATATGGGAATTATGAGAATTATGAGAATTATGGGAAGTATGGGAATTATGAGAATTATGGGAAGTATGGGAAGTACGGGAATTATGAGAATTATGGGAAGTACGGGAATTATGAGAATTATGGGAAGTATGGGAAGTACGGGAATTATGAGAATTATGGGAAGCATGGAAATTATGGGAATTATGGAAAGTATGTAATAACCATAGGTGGCCAGTAAACTGTTTTACTTATTGTTATTTAATGACATGAATTGTGATAAATTTGATTTATTGATATGTGCAATATTCTTCTTTATTTTGTATAATTCACAACAAGTGAACACATATTTTATTACAAAATCAAAAACTATTATTCTAGAAATAGAGATGGACAAGATCGGATTTATTTTCAAATAAGATTGGAGTTTTACAAGGGAGCGCATGACCTTTTGTCTACAAGTTTTGATTTCTTGTTTTTTCATGGTTTTTCAATTTTACAACGTGGTAACAGCAGATCTTCTCAGTTTCTACTAGTGTTTCGGCATATATTCTCATTTTCGTTTGATTTCCTGATATATTATTCAGATATCTCATTGTCTGCACTTCACATACATCATATATTTTCGGTTGATTAGATAACGTTTAGAAGTCCTCCGATATATTTCAAAAAATTCAGAAAACAGTAGCATCTATTCTATACAACCAGAGAGTATGTTCATCAGTTATCTAAATTAAATTTTTCTCACGACTGAGTTTTATGAAGCAAACATTTCTCTACAAAATGAGCTCTAGGAGCAATCGTCATCTCGATCTAGCACTCATAAAAAAATAATTTAATAAGAGCCCCATTTATCGGTTTCGGTTATAAAACCAATAAATGGGGCTTGTCGTAGAAAGGCGATTGCAAGGAAAAGGGAAAAGATGGAAAGACTCGCCATATCTCATTTTATAGAGCAATGTTTGCTCTACAAAACTGAGTTGTGAGACAAATTTAAGATGCCATACTCTTCACACAATCTATTTTCGAAAAAAGCAAAAATAACGGTTTTTATCGGATGCATGCCTAGCGATGTCCCACTTTTGTTCTAACTTTTCTTATTAAATGCTGCATGCTTGAAACTTTCCTTGTCCTATCAAAGTAGAGGCGCTCTATTAATTCACTTAAACCGTTCTCGCGATGGCACACACTTTATATGGCGGGGCACAAGAAGTGCAGTGTCTGTAAATACAGTTTACGCTAATTTAGATAGAAAACAATCAAGAACATTCGGTCAGACGGCATATTCTGAAACTGTTGTCTCCAAATTAGTCTCTCATAGCGAATTCGGGATACTCACATTTGAGCAGAAACATGCACTTTTTGTTCGCCACGAGGCACTAAACACTTGGAATTTCCGCCTTGTTTGACTCATGTTCCAGAAACCACAAAAGATCAATGTGGGAATTTTTGGTGGTAGTAGCGACAGAGAGGAGGGACAAAATAAAAAACTGTATTAAATTTTGGTGCACAGAAAACGAAATATTACAACTAGGCATGCAACAATCCCAAGCATGGGCTTGGCAATCGGTACCAGGCCGATTCGGTACCTAGCTGCTCGGTTACTAAGCTGGCTCGGTACCGAATCGACCTGGAACCGAAAAAAGGTATACAAGAAATATCTATATAATAAAAAGAACCGTGAACATTAAAGCATATGACTGAGCAGCCATAATGACACTATAGATAGTTAAGAATAAAAACAGAATAATTTAAGGCAGCAGCTTCATATTAATTTTACTTTTATAAAGTATGTTTAAAGAATCCTGAGTTTCCTTTATCTCTCTTCTCATCCAAACCTCCACTTAAAGTACACTTCACTAGTGTACTCGGTGCAGCAGATTGTTTTACTCTTCTTTGCTTTCATGCAACAAAAATGCTTTACTTTCACTAGACTGATGTTAATAACATCAGTAAGATTTCTGGACGGTCACAGGTGAAAAAAATCTGTCATCAACTCAGCTCCAGCTCCGCAAAAAAAACGGCACAACTCTGGAGTTGAGTTGCCCAGCTCTGGTTGAAATCAGTTTAGCTGATCATGATTATGAATTTGATATAGTGCATTTCTTTAAGAATAAGTCGATTACGCTTGTTCTCTCATCATATACCGTTGTTGTTTGTCTGTATTAATTATGACAAATTTCGTATCCTATAAGATCTGCCTTCTTTATCAGTTTTAAGTATTGAATATTTTGCCGCTGCTACGTCATCAGGTGACAATTGATGATTCGTTCCCAAATCGAGATAACCGGCAATCTACAAATACAAGAACGGTTGCAAATTATTTACCAAAGGTTTAGTTGCAAAGGTGAGAATATAACAGAGATGGTAACAATGTGCCGGCCAACGGTCAGTACCATCCCAAAATAACCTGAACGGTAACCAGAAAAATGAGTTTATGCGACATTAGTAGCAAAGTGATTTTTTGAATAAGTAATTTATCCTCCCAATAACTTTGTTTTTAAATGTGTTGTTATCAAGTTAACCTTCTATACACTATA